ATGATGATATGACTCATTATGGATTTACTGATCAATTTACAAAACTCACTGAAAGCAACAATAATTTTACTTTTTCATAAACTAAACAGGAAATATGAAATTGAATGTGTTTGTATGTAACAGGATCGATGCAGCTGAGCTTTAATTCTGTTTGAGTCTTTTCACTGATGGATGCAGACCGTAGAAAGAAAATAGTTACATGAAAAATATGTAACAAGGGTTGTAATGGGATCATGCTTTTTTGAAAGTGTTTTTTAAATGTGTTGATGGAGTTTTAACCATCATGAGGTGAATGCCATTTGGTTCCAGCAGATTCAAGACAACGCAAACATCCTCTCCGCTGAAATCTCCAAACCAGAGAAACCCAAACTTAAATAGTGCAGATGATTTGGAGATGGACTGTCCTTAAACACAGCTGACGGTCGTATTATGACATTTATGAGTTTGACCTTTTACCCTCTTAAATATCAGCTTTAAAAATGACACGTGGATAAATCCAGAGGTTCATTTTTGCTGCCTGAGCTCGAAAAGAACTTTAAAGAAACAGTTTGTGTTTCATCTCTCGTGGTAAAGTCACCTTCACTCCAACATCAACAATATCCCTGCTCTCTGACTGCCTTGTTACAAGTAGCTGAGTAAACTGCACGGTTGATTTACTCTCCAGTATGTGGCATCAAACTGCTCCTCACAAGCATCTAGCTGCCTTTCTAAATGTGATTTTGTATTTAAAGCCCATTCAAATACATTATACTGTCGTGCTGCAGTTGCACAATATAATGTGCTGTTCATAAAACTGATATCACAGTGGACAGTTAAGATATTGTAGTGAATAAATTTCCAAGAGTGGTTGGCGAGCTGACCATTTCAGTTTGTTTACTGTGCTAATGGAAGGAAACAGGAGCTCGAAGTAAGACTCACACTGTTAGCAGCCTCGCAGTCACAGCGAGCGGCAGCCGTCACCACCGACCCGTCAATGAAATGTTTAACGAGAAAATATTGGCTCTGAGCTGAAAGATTCTCTTTGTGGATAATTATAGAACATATGCTGCTCTGTGACCCGGGCTGAGGCAGAGCTGTGATACGTGTGTGTGTCTGCGGCGCACACGCTGAGCGGCGGCAGCAACCAGTGGATTGTTGTTTAGTGGGGGAGACAGGAAAAGGGGAGGTGGGGGGCTGGTTGCTGCCCTGTGGGCACAGAAAGCTGTACTACACACGTCGGGTATTCATATCTTGTGGGGACATCCCATTGACATAATGCTTTCCCTAGCAAGGTTATTATTGGTAACGAAAACTAACGAAATAATGAAAACTAGAAGTGAAAAAACATTTTCGTTAACGGAAATAAAAATAAAAACGAGACTTTGCGAAAAAAGGAAAACTAACTAAAACTGTAATGAGTGCTCACAAAACTAACTAAAATTGACTGAATTTATAGCAAAAATGTGTTTAGTTTTCACTGATGTGTGTGTGTCATACAATAGTCTAGCGTGAAAATGAGGTGTAGTTTCCAGTTTTTTCTTGCTGTGTCTCATTATGCCAGCAGGTGGCAGTACGTTAGTCGAGTCGTCTGTGTTGCTGCTTCATCCACACGCAAAATCGTGTCAGCAAAAGTCGGGAGAAAGCACCAGAGTCTAATTTGGGATTGCTTTGATTGGTAATCTAGCTTACCTTGAGAAGGTAAAGGAGCACGCCCAACCCTCATCCCCAGAAACAGAAGCTAACCCCAGGCAAGGCAGCGTGATGCATCCCGAGACAACTCCACAAAAAACATTAGTGCAGTGCTTCAATCGGCGACCCGATGGCTACTAGTTGGTCAGTTCGCAGGAACATCACAAGCGAGAGGAATCGTTGGCGAATATGTTTATTGAGACTGTGATATACATGCAGTTTGTGGGGATAGGTGAATTGGATAATCCAAATTG